CAGGTCTCGCAACCGTAAAGCAGAACGCTACGAACTGCGGCGATATACACCCTTCCCTTAAGGGACAATCGGACGTCATGGCGGCGCCACAGGTGTCGCAGGTTGGCGATTCAACGATTCACTAATTTCCACGAGTTCAGCTTTGCGGTTAGGTCGCAGAGGTTTGAGTGACAAAATATGTAGTGCTAACTGGGATGTTTGGGATGTTTTGACAACAGATGACCCCGGGTTTCTTGTGATCACCTGGTCATCGATTGCGTCGTCGACTTCCGCAACTGCTGGTGAATGTGTTTGGCCATCCTTTGTGATGGCAGATGGTTTGATCTATCTAATTATATGTCACCGCAACTGCCCCTTTGTCCAACTCAGTTCCACGAGTAGAAACAGCCGGTTCGGTTTGAGCAGCTGGAACTGTGCGGTCTTGAACCGATGGGAACTTCTGGCACGCATCATTTAAAATATGGTCACCCTTGAAACCGGGCTTCATGTGTGCACTCTTTTTGCTCACGCTTTGGGTTGGATTCCTTGGAAATGGTCTACTGTGTACCTCTGTGAATCGTCCTGGGTAACCATTGATTGATCATGTTTTTTCTTAGGAATTCGTTTTCTTCTCGCAGTCTAGCTAGTGAGCAAATGTTTCTTGCCCAAACAAATAGGGTTCTCACGTTTGTAAGGCATGAGGTAAAGGCTGAAACAGTCTAAGTATTGACCATATCCTATATCGGTTTTCGGTGAAACAAGCTTTATAATTTTCCATTTAAGCGGCTCGTGAGTGTTATGTTCAGAAATTCCATTGTTCTCTTCTATTTCATGGGTTACACTGAGGCGTTGATGAGCTGAACTCAACGTATGTACAAAGGTTTTAGAATATTATCATCCCCTGTAAGCGTATAAATATCGTCCACGTATCGTCTGTACAGCATGGACGGGGCAATATTATCAATAATTTTTCGTTCAGTCATTTTAAAAAATACATCTACCCAAATGATACCCAACGGACGACTGTCCATTACTTCTCCATCCTTCAAGTTTGAGATGAATGTTTTTTCCACACTTCAAAGAATTAGTTCTCTCAGGTGTGGAAATAACAACAACAACAAAATTGAAATTTAATCGCATGCAAGAGTCAACTGTTTCACAAAGTGACACGTTAGTCAAGAGCGAGTTCACATCTGCCGGAATAAAATTCTTTATAACTTTGCTGTCACATTCTCCGAACTATTTCCGGATTCAATAGGAGGGATTAGCTCGTGAATGAACTCTAGAAAGTGTATCAGTCAGTCACTGTGTGAATATGGCATGCATAAAATCGGTGTGAGTGGTATCTGGAGGTTGTGAACTCTTGGACGAACCCCTTATGCGTTATGTTTCAGTGCCTATTGGGATTGGGATTCAGATTTGTGCTGCAACAATTTGTAGCGTGTTAGTCATGGAGTAGGTCCTCGGTGAGATGGTTGCTATCGGGTGTAATTGTCGACTTGAGGAGATCAAACGAAACGCTTTGATTTCGCAAAATTTGTCTTCTTGGACAAAATTTTGTTCTTTATGATTAACTTGGCTTTGATTTGTTACTATTATTTCATATTCGCTCTTACTATCACTAAAATTTGGTTCGTTTTTACTGTCGGTGAGCACACGTGTCCGGTTCAGAATTTATCCGATCAAGTCAAAATCCTGGAGGCCAGTCCTATCAGATAAACCAGGTTAGATGCTCACAAAAGTTGATTGTACGGTACGGTGTGTGGACAAAGTAAGGCAGTCTGATCAAGTGATAAGTATTGTTGCTTTCTACCTGTGAAGTCCCTGTTTTGATCGTCATTTAGGCCGGTTCACTTGCGCTAATGAGGAGGCGCGACAAGTGTTTCAGCCCACATTTCTTTAACTCGTTGTACAACGGACTCCATCCGGCAATATCATCTGGATATTTTTGGTTCGTCTGTTACACTCCTCTGCTGCAGATCTCGTGCGAAAAGATTGGGATCTGTGTCACTATGATCTGATCACTTACAGATTTGTAGCTCAGTTACTGTGCCTAGAGATCGTCATCTTGTCTAATCCACCATTTCACGTTTGTTCCCTACCAGCTTTACGACTCGGTGGTGGTGAGTGGACACGATCAGAACGGGTCCAAGGAATCAGTTGACGCTCTCAGTCACCGGAACCCACTTCCTTCACGTACCACACCGCCTTCAGCTGCTGTGGTCATCGGATCGCATTCCTTAATTCCCTCAGGCACATTCCCCGGTCCCATGGGAGTGGAATCAGTTTCGGATTCGGCGGTCAATGGTGTCGGAGACCCGTTAAGTCACTCGCAAGGGACACATACATCCAGTGTGTACACCACACTGACAACTGCAATTAGCGTTGATCGTGTCCCGTCGCAATCTGCGGATCCGTGCAATTCCACTAGCAACGAGGCAAAATCGGAGGACGCTCTCGGGCGTCTAAAATCAAACACTTTGCGCTTTCATGCCCCATTAGATCCTTTGGCCGTGGGTCTTTTCGATTCATACTATAACATTGGTGAGTCCTGGTTATTATTCTCCCATTGTTTTTGAAAAATCAAATTGGTCAAGCGATGCTCTTACTTACTTTACTTTTAATCGAATAACTCCTGTGGGAGGATAAGTCGCCTTCTTGGATGTCTCTAACGATGGCGGCCCATGCATGACGATCGGTAGCAAGGTTGACGCAGTGTGAAATCCAGTTCTGTTTGCAGTTACGAATTCCATATACGGATTGGAGGCCCAGTAATTCCAAATCCGCCTTGATCCTATTGCCCCAGATCTTCCACTGGGTCGGCAACGCCATCCACAGCACGGTGCGGGGGCTACAGCCTGTCACGAGAGTTGAGTGTCGGGCCTTCGGAGCACATGGCCAAACCACTGATGGCACTGGCGTTGTGGCATTTTTGAAAGCTCTATCAAGTCCAAACAGTTGCGCCATACTACCCTGTTTTCCAATTCAAGTTTCGTTCAATTCCTCCCCCGAGATCACTGAATTTCTTTGCTAAAATAGTAATTTGACACTAATACAATATAGGCTCGTTGTGTTTATGATATCTCGCTGGTCCATCATCGTCTGCATGGTAATCACTTGACGCTTGGTGATATCTGCCATGTGGCTAAATCATCTGTTGTTTATAAATAAAATTCCATTTCGATTGTGTTACGTTAGGCTGTGGTGACCAGTACCCGGCGAGATTAGATTTTGTTCTCTTTTGTACCAACCGAAACGGGAAAGATGCGTTTTTATCTCCGCGAAAATCTTCATTTTACCCAATACTTTTCCCGTACAGTGGCAGATTGTGAAGCTATAACTTGTTTGTTGTTTTACAAACTTTCTTCATGCACCTCATCTCTCTCTCTCTAGTCCATGCACACACCGGAGACCGATTCGTTCGATTCCTTGGTGACATTTCGCTACACCACAAGATACTGTACACAAGTCTATTGTGCATTGAATCTCCCCGGGGAACGAGTATTTTGTGCATCCTATCTTAGAAGGCTACACTGCCTGTTGTTGCACGTGACTCGTGTGCTTCGTGTACGCGTGCGGTTTTTTCCCCATCGTTGATTCGTGTCGATTGGGACTATGCCGATAGTTTTTTTTAAAGGTATCTATATCCCCATACACACTCCGCCGCCGCCTCCTCCTCCCCTCCCCGCGTTTGCACACACACGCGCGCGCGCGCGCGCGCACCAATTTCCCATAATGATGGTGCACATGCTCGCAGCTTACTGTCCGATGCATAACGTTCATGACTCAGTGTCCCAAGAGTCTTACGGCCGCCACTGCTGCTGTTTGATGGTGATGGTAGCTCTTGCTCCTGTTTGAGGTCACTTACCTCATATTTGGGACGTGGTGCCCACCCCACTCATCCTCGTTGAACGGTCGAAATTGGACAAATGCATCCGTATACAACGCTCGTTCACCCGGAGCTCATTATATGAATTCCCGAACGGTCACCACCCACGTTTGTTCTCCCGCATACCCGCGACCTCTCGTCAGTTGTCCCCGTCCCCCAAGCCTGCCAGTACTATATATATATATATCTTGCACAGCGACCATTTTGTCCTAGTCTGGGTCCGCATTTCATCTACGATCTGTATTCTCGCCACTCTGGCGTCGGTGATCGCCACTCAAGACTGTTTGGAGTTGTTTGATTAGCCACAACGGTATTTCTGCGGACCACGTGTTGTTTCCTTCGAATCGAGGGTGGGTGGGAGGTAGACCTTCTCTGATCGCATACGAGTGTGCATGTACACTGGTCCGGCCATATCTTCGTGCTTATCATAGCCCCGAATTTTGTTGGAATTGTTTATCCCGTTCGTTCGCTCATATTCAACGTAAAAGGATTGTTGTTCCCCAGGTCCCCGAACAATTCTTGCGCGTGTCCCGTTCCAACTATGCTCGGTTTTTAACCCATATGTAGTATCTTCGAAAAGGAAATGCGCAGAGCGATTAGGTACAGCGGATGTATTTCGTCTTCCGGTTTGGGGTCCAAAAGACTCCGTAACTGCATGGTTGGAGACACTGAAGGACATGACGGCAAACCGACTGCAGTGGCGATCATGCTGTCACTTCTTATCAGACCAGAATGCTTGAAATGGTATGTGTGCACAGTTGGACTTTGCTCTCTGTGTGTTGACCTTAGGGGTTCGTTTTCTTTTCCCATCCATATAATTAGGCTCAATCCCTATCTTCCTTACACATTCTCAGTTACCTTGTATGCATTATGAGTTTGGAAGGGATCAGTGAAGTTCGCTTCACTGTATTGCGCGCTATGCAATGATGTTGGTCAATATTTTCGGAACGTACAATGGTTATCAAGTAAAGCCAAGGCAACATAAGACTTATACATCCATGTTGGGTGAATTTTTAGCTTTCTACAGACATTCAGAATAAAATTGGATAGTCTAATTCGCGGAACGTAAACTTGGCACGAAGTTCATTGGCTAACTTTTTCCCTCGACAAGGAGATGCGATAAACAGCGAAGAATGAAATGGTGCGGACAAGAAGTACTGCAATATAGAATTGTAACGTGGAGGACTTAGCCCACCGCTACCACCGATTCCCAATACACGACAGGAGGTTGATTTCGGGTAACAGGATCCGAGTTTCTGGTGCCAATAGCACTGTTCGAATGCCGTAAATAAAACCATCTTTCGGGGTGTCGAACTTAAGCTTAAACACGGCCCCGCATAGACGCTCTCAAAGCACAGGTAGGCGACACTTCGGACTACGGTTCTCCGTGGAAGGGGGATTTCCAAACAACCTGCAAGACCTGCAAAACAACCATGAATCAAAAGGTTCAGTGAGACATGTACACGACTCACACTCAATCCAAAATGGCGGCTACTTGCTCAACTTGCCTTGAAACAAGCTCGTGTGGTAGTTTTGGACACTGCTCTATACCGGATGTGAAACGGCCGTAAGTACAGATATATCAGTTTGTCTACAAAGATGACTGTACACTGCATTTCGATCAATGCTTTATATATCGTCTCAGTACGTAATGATGCAAACTAGCACAAACTGAAGGAATCACTTTGTGATGTAGAAAATAATTTATAAATTTAGAAAACTATACTCCTCTAACCTTACAAAATATCTTATAGATGTGCGGGGACCATGAAAGATTATTAGTAAAAATCTCCTAGATTTTTCTAGAAGTGTTCGGTTATAAGGTGTAGGAGAAAACCGGTTTTTATAGCCTGGTATCACGCATCAGATTGTAATGAAAAAAATCACATTCTAACATTTAAAGGTGTTCAGAATGGGAGAATGAATCGTGAACTACCTAGCGACTTCATCAAGTCCCCTTTTGGACTTCGGGCGATTTACTGGGATATGAAAGTTTACAGCCAAGCACTTTACCCCTCCCCCTCCCACGAGTGTCATCATCATCATCATCGTACAGCGAAATACAGGGGAGCGAATTTCACTGATTGCTGCCAAACTCGCAATGCATATGTACTGGAGTTCGATGACCGGGTCCTCCCAGGGTGTCCAGCCACTAAGCAAGATAACGATTCGGGTTCTCAACCAACCTTTAGCTCTGAAAGAGCCTAACCGCAAGGCAGCGGGTGAAGCGGAGTGGAGGCCCATTTGCTTAGATCGATTACTCCACTATTTTTTACCGACTGAAACACAAATTCTAGTCCAACCCCCAACCTGGAGGACCAGGAGACTGGACTTCGTCTGACCTCTACCCTTCGATCTTCCAGTCATGATTAGATCTCCTGGCTTGACAAAAGCCATCCTGTGTAGCTCAAAGAGGTGCACAAGCCATCACATCATGTCAAGATGCAATCTCGTCATGAGTGTATCGTCAGTCGAAATCATGTACATATTTGGTCGAACAGATGAACACACCCTAATGAAGATTATCTATGGCGTTGTGAATATTTCACATGCTGAGTCTTTTTTAGTACACTTTGGTGTGCGTGTGTTGGAGGGAGTTAACCCCACTGTATACTGGCTGGGTTGTAATCCAAAGAGAAATACGCAGAGCCAGTGTGTGACTTGGTGCAGGTGTATGCCAATCTGAACTACCTTGTTTCTGTTAAATGCTTGCTAAGACTGTTCAAGGAAAATAGTTGACGTAGATGATTGACAAATCGAAACTCTCCTGATTCTCGCCGTTTTCTCATCGACATCACCAGTTTGGTCAACACGTGGTTCGTTTAGCACGGGTATCACTTATCTGGCCTATTTAATTGCTATCTTCCGTGATCTAGAATGAGCTTTTAAATTAGTTACCATTGTTCTGTTAATTCCCGGTGTCAGTGAGCTGCGCACGGATAATCATGTACCATCCGGCATAAGCTCGTCAGTTCGTTTCAGACGAATATCTCTGCATGTCCACTTTCGTGGTTTCCTTCCAATTTGGTCGCACACAAACTCTCGTGATGTCAGTTGTAAATGAAGACTTCCGACTAAATCATGATATCATGAATATGAGAGTGTCGCTTGTTACTCATTGGCATTTATTTAACACCATAAAAACACTTCGCGGGTTGAAGAGACTTGTGACTCCATTTCAAGTGCTCCCTGTACATTACGGAGGGGGTGGGGTTGTGAGTGTCCGTAGCCTTCGCACTGGAACTCGACAAACCGAAGCTGGTCTCGACTAGTCGTTTGCTTCTCTGATCAACAGCATTTCACACCGTTAACTTATCTAGGCCGCAATGCACGAGCATCGCTGCGTTTAGAAATACTCGGTGTCATTGTATCTCAGTTCTGGTCGTTTGTCGGTTTCACTATCCTCGAAGGAGATCAATGTTTCCAATTTGATCGATTTTCTATTTATCAGGATTTTAATGCAAATGTGCATTGAATTTAGCATGTGATCTATTTACTCTGTTTTTCATGCACATGACATATCCATATATGTGTGTATATTTATATATGTGTATAAATAAATAAGGCTTCTGTAACTGTCATGCACTAAATCCCGAAACAAACTGTGACTTAGTTCAACCGAAAGCTCCGCCCATTCGAACACCT